GGGGGGGGGGGGGGCAATTCAAGGCTGAATGGTAAATTGGATGATAAGAGTCTAATGGAGGAGAACCAGTAGGAAGCGGAGCAGAGAGAACAGGCACTGCTGTATCAGAGAAAACGACTGCTGATCAGCCAGTTTCATTCTGGACCTCCAGTATATAGGCTGCTGCAGTGGTTTTCAGGCTTTTTTTTCTGGGGATCCATATTCTTAAAACTTAAACAGACGGTAGAAACTTGCTTAAGTAGCAAGCCTGGTAATCATTCCAGGCCAGCAGGCAGGTAGCATTTTTTACTTTATCACATATATTTGGGAAAACAGAATACTCTGTTTAAATGAATGCAAGCAATGCTGTGGCGTCTGCAGCCCCTACACTGCAGTTTATATCTTGTGCCAGAAAGTTAGATCTGCTGGACTGCAACATGGCACAGACTGGGATTGCTTTATAGTTCGGTTTTTGAGCTGAAACCAATCAAATTCATCCAGAGTGTCTAACAATGGAAGCTGGTGGAATAAGTGAAAAATTCAAATTAGTACTCTGAGTATAATTTATATGTGACTTTCAGCATAGTTTACTATCTACTATTAATACAATAATTTCTATTTCAGACACTGATTTATCAGTGAGTTTCTTGTTTGAGTTAAACAGTTCCCAAATATTATAAACTTTGTTTTCCATAAATGTAGAGTTCATGTATTAGAATCCAACCAGCTCTTTGATATATTCAATTATTTTCCCACCATATCCAGAAGATAAAATTTTTTACCAGCAATATAAACAACAATGGCCCCAGCACTGAGCCCTGGGGAACCTCCAAAATAATTTTCAGTAGTCATTTATTTGGACATTAACCATCTTAACCAGGAGAGTGCTACCCTTCTAAGTCTATATCTTTGTAATTCTTTTACAATAATAAGTGGTGGTCAACAGAGTTGAATGCTTGAAATAATAATACCCCCATTGCATATTCTTTATTTCTTGTTATTTCCAAAAACTGCAAGGAAAGTTTTTTAAATCCCTGTAGCTAAAATAAATAAAAGTTATTATTATAGCTGTTCATATAGTGCATTATGTTTTGTGACAAATTCATCTAGTCTCTTATAGAACATTCTGGTACTTTTGGGGACTGTGGAAGTTAAAAAACAGGTCTGAAATTTGAGAGTACTTATACATAATGAAAATACATTAAACTGTGGTGTAGTGCTTCAAATTCATGGATATGTGACTGAAAATGAACTGGATTGGATTTCATGCCTCACCTGTACCTGAAGCAAGACACCTTTGTCTTAACACAGGGCTACAGAACTTGTAACCAAAAACGTTAGGAACCACTGACAATGAATTGTGTGCTTGTGGTTCTGCAGTTCTCACCTGCAGTTCTTGCTACAGTTCTCCTCTGTGATCCCGTCTTCATCTTCGCCCCAAATGTCCACAGCTGAGAAAATTAACGCCACCAGTATGGCAAAGCAGCACACCAAGGCAAAGATCACAATGCATTTCTGCTGAGACTGCAAGAGAGAGAAGGAGAACAGAATTGATTTCCACATTGTATTTTCTACTCTTCGCCACTACTGTGAAAACAAGGCCAAAGTTTCCCAACCTTGGCTCCTATTAGCTGCCTGCTCTGGATGATTTAATGCACAGCTCAGCAGGTCATAACATGAGGGGAATTTAACACAAACATGTAGAAGGTCTACGTATGACCTCACAAGTCCAGGCTTTCATATGAAGAACATGAGGCAGGTTTCATGAGAATAAAGGAAAGAGGGAATACAAAGAGAGCAAAGAAAAAGAGAACAAAACAATAGAATACAATAGAAACAAAACAAAAAAAAGACACTTTTTGACTTATTTTCAACACTGCATATTTGGATAAAGTCCAAATGATCCCATATGGAGGATGTGAAGGAGGCTCATTTGCAGCTGTTACTCATCCACCAGCTTGCATCTCATCATTCAGTCCATCTTCTTACTGGTCCACAAGATGACTAACTGAGTTTTACCAATAAAATGCAATACTATCAACATTTTTGTTTTGTAATTAACGGTGAAATATTAAGCTCATAAGCTTTTTATTGAGAAAAGAAAACTAGCAAGTTATACTATTTACTAATATACTATATAATAGCCCCATCTGTTTAATTTATTTATTCACTGTACATTTGTTCAACATTAAAGTAACTGTTTATAGGATAGTACGGAAAAT